TACTGCAAAAGAGATGTCGAGTTGAGTGTGGCACAAATAAATTAGGTGTCTCACCAGTCTATGAATCTCTGGTACCTCTCATGATCAACATGTTCTCCTGCCTCTGCACTCAGCTTGCCCTTCTGATCAACTGAATAGACTGCAATTTTGCACCCCCGCATGCATGTTTCTATGAGGAGATCTAGTACATACTTTCTCTAAGATAAGACCATCCCCTTAGATCCACGGACCACTTTAATCACAAGAAAGTATCTCTGAGTTGTCCCAGATATTTTACCTCTAATTGATTCCTCAGTCTTCTCTTTAAATGAGCAATCTCTATCTCATTATCACCGATGATAATTGTGTCATCTACATATACAACAAGTATGGCAGTGTGACATTTATGTCGTCGAAAGGACAATGTGAGCTTTTAATGTCTATATGCCTATTCTTCCAAAAGATCAACCATTCTCCTGGTGCACTCTTCAAGTAACTTTGGGTCTGATACATTGCACCGATATGACCCTTCCTTGCATCATGCATGAAGCGACTCACCACACTTACTGCAAAAGAGATGTCGGGTCGAGTGTGGCACAGATAAATTAGGTGTCCCATCAGTCTCTAGTACCTCTCACGATCAACATGTTCTCCTGCCTCTGCACTCAGCTTGCTCTTCTGATCAATTGGATAGACTGCAATTTTGCACCCCCGCATGCATGTTTCTATGAGGAGATCTAGTACATACTTTCTCTAAGATAAGACCATCCCCTTAAATCCACGGACTACTTTAATCACAAGAAAGTATCTCTGAGTTGTCCCAGATATTTTACCTCGAATTGATTCCTCGGTCTTCTCTTTAAATGAGCAATCTCTATCTCATTATCACTGATGATAATTGTATCATCTACATATACAACAAGTATGGCAGTGTGACATTTATGTCGTCGAAAGGACACTGTGAGCTTTTAATGTCTACATGTCTATTCTTCCAAAAGATCAACCCTTCTCCCGGTGCACTCTTCAAGCATCTCAGGATCTGATACACTGCACCGATATGACCCTTCCTTGCATCATGCATGAAGCGACTCACCACACTTACTGCAAAAGAGATGTCGGGTCGAGTGTGGCACAGATAAATTAGGTGGTCCACCAGTCTCTGATACCTCTCACGATCAAGATGTTCTTCTGTCTCTGTACTCAACTTGCACTTCTGATCAATTGGATAGACTGCAGTTTTGCACC